TACTACTCTATATTTAAGAACTAAATGATTAGTTTACCTTTAACATTTTGTTAACATGGTTACCAACAAAACTTTTCCCATGGTATGCTTGTCTTTGCACTCCTAACAAATTAAGTACCTCGTCGAGTTTATTTACTAGTGGACCAAATGACATCTTTACATGGTCAGTTTCTTTCATTATTTCCAATTCTGAGATCTATGAATATAAATATGGCTATTGATTCTCTTATAAATACAAAATACTAATATAAATAAAAAATACCAAAACATAAAATGTTAGAAATAACATCTATTAGGATCCAAGCAAAATGTATTGTTTATGATTTATATTTTTAGTGAACAATAAAATTTTAAATGTTTACCTTTTCTTTTTTTTTCTCTTCAAAGTGAATTATGCGTGGTTCAAATACTAACTTTATATATTCTTCATTTTCAGGGTTAGATAATATGTGAGTTTCAAGTGCTTCTGTTATGATACGTGTTTTATTTTCAAGATCCTGAATACTTATCTGAAGTTGTTTTATTTGACGCTGCTTCTCAATATATTTGTTAAACTCTTCACAGTCTTCAAGTGTTTGGTTATTTACTGCCATTCGACCTGCAATTTTGACATCAATTGTATGACAAGAGTCTTCTAACATGTTGAAGAATTTTAAATACGTACCAAGTGAGATGTGTAATGCTGGAATTCCGATCTTAAATTGCAATAAAAATATTAAATTATTGTTAACAATCACTTTTGTTGTAATTAAAATAAAAGTTACGGATGTTAGTTGGAAAATAATTATTTAAAGCAAAGTACCTGATCAAGTGGCACATTAAATAACCTTTGGTCAATAACATTATCACATAGCTTGGCAAACTTGGGATCTGAACCATGATTTTATATTTTTCTAAATGTGAATCTAGTGTCTCAAGTGATCGCATTTCAATGTTGTCCTTAATTGGAGTTGACATTCCTTGTCTTGTGATGTTGCAAAACAGGCATGGGTGTCTACCTGAGGTTATCAAACAGTTCAATACTTAAAAAACAAAATCAATCATATAGCAGGAATATGCTCCATATGAGTTTTTAAATGGATATGTATATATTAAATATTTACTTACCAGTTGCACCAGTTATTCCATAGATTGCACACAAGAATTTGTAATCACCAAATAAAAATACACAAATCTGTTTTTCTCTACATTTGAAAATAGTTATATAGGTTCAAATTAATCACAAACAACATAAATAATTTTGTTTTAAATATTTTGATTATTTAGTTGGTTGTAACATATTCTTACCTCGAAATGGTATTTTGCAACAAATCGATTTCTGATTTAAATCTTGACAGTGAAAACTTCAGATTTGTTTTACAATCACTTGCTTCAAATATGTTAAAGACAGTTGTGTTTGTTTTTGCATTAGGTTTCTCTACATTCACTACTTGGTAACACATTTTGAACGAGCCACCTCCATGGTCGCCTCCTATTTTTATATGGATTTCATTGCCTTTAATCTTTTTGTTCAATAGTAAGTTGTTGCTAAAATATATTATAGAAAATGAAATTTTAGAACTGATTTTTTTATTTATATTGAATGTGTGCCAAATAAATTTATTTTTGTATTTTTTTGTAGTATTATATCTAAACCTTCCAAGTCAGAAATTGTTAAAGAAAGACTTATACAAGTACTTTTATAAGCAAGATTTGTTTTTACCTTTCTAATCTATCTAGCACATTTATTATATGTCCATGCAGATTGTTAATATAAGCACATGGCAATTCTTTTATTTCAAAAGAACCTTTGGACTCCTTTTTTTCAACCATAAATGGAGCTTTTTCAATAATAAGATCATCACATGACCATTTCTTAGCCAGGCTTCTTTGTTGTGCGTTTGAAGCACAAATGATGTTCTTGGTTTTCAACCACCTAAAACAATAATGCATTTGTTTTTTTGAAAAGGTTGTGATTTTTATTCAATACATTTTTTTCTAGATTTTTATACAATAGTTTTAATTTTGTTTACCTAGATAATATTTTCATGTTGGCATAAGTACTGCTCATGTTAGCTTTTAAACTTATTATTTCTTCAGTTGATATTTTGGTTTTTGAAATATTTGAGTTACTTAGAATAATTTCTTGTTCATTTTCATTGAATGATTTCAAAAGAGTAGTGGTTTGGTTGATTTTGGACCTAATGCTTCCACCACATGTTGTGCTTATGTAATCGTTTAACTGTGATTGTCGTTTGCGAACTGTTCGTAAAGTTGCATCTTTACTTTCTTTATAGGCTTTTGGTGTTGATGTGAAGCATAAAGGCTAAAATACTATGTAGTTTGTGAACGTTTTATATGTTATTATAGTTTATTAAAATAAAAGTTGAATAATTTTGTAATAGTAATTTTTTACTAAAGTAATCTTACCCTTGGTCCATCTGTCTGAAATTCTATTACATTGGATGTTGTTTGCAACATTTTTTGTTTAATAATATGAAGTGCAACAGCATCAATATCCCTTGTGATAACGCTTGTTGAATTTAATGCAAATATATCTGTTAGAGTTGTTTGTGATGAGGGTGTTGACAAGGTTGTGGAAATTGGTATTGGAGTCTGACAATTATTTTGATGGTTGAAGCGTTCTGATTGTTGTGACATTTTAAATAATCTACCGCAATGTTGCTTACATTCTTCTTGAATATTATTTATCATTTCAATAACATTGCTAGAGGAGGTTATTCCATCAATTGAAATTGAAAAGGAGCATTTAGGGCATTTTGTTTTAAATAATAGTTTACCATTGATTAGTGGTAATATACATGGTGCACAAAACGAATGCAGACAGTTTTTTTAAATAACTGGTTTATACATAATACCATTACAAATATAACAGACACAAAGATGTACATGTGGGTTTAATTTTTGGTTAATGTCTTGTAGTTTCAGATTTAAATTTGGTAGAGATGAAAGTTTAGCTTGTATGTTATTTATTGCTTGTCGAGTCCAAATTTCTTCATTTACAATACTTAAGGGCCTTCCTTTTACAGTTTTCTTTGGTTTCCTTCCTTTATTTACTTTGAAACAAATACATTCATCTTTCTGGCAATTGCTAATCCAAGTTCTTAATTTAAGATCAGTATTTGAACCTTTTTCTATGTTTCTCATTATTGTAAAGCATCTGTAACACAACTTCTGTGGGTGCATCTTTGGGTCATCCTCGTCGATTCGAATAAAAAAATTCAATTCTATTTTAACTACATGCTTTGTTAAAAGAACACTACGATTTCCAAGTTTTTCTCCGCATATTCGACATAATTTTTTTAGTTTTGTTATATGAGACTCAGTCATTTTTATATTTATTTATAGCTAAATAATAGGATTTAATGTACACTGTTTTTAAACTTAAAAAAGTAACCCAAGTCTAATTTTTTTTTTTAATATATAGATAAACTCTTCTTGTTTTAAAATATATTAGGTTTTAAAGCCAAAAAATTTAAATAAGCGCTTAATTATCCAGTTTTATCAGTATACATAGCTATATATTCAAGTCTGAGTTTCCCGCGTATTTAGAGACTCTAAAATTTAAAAATTTAAATGTTGTAAAAAAATACATATCCATCGCCATATTTAAATCAATTTAAATAATGGGATATCAATTATACATCTTTATAGCAAAGCTATGAGCTACTTTTTAAGGATATGGTTAAAAAAAAATTACTAAATAAAAACAAAACAACAATCTTTTTTTTATATAAATTTTATTTATATATTTTTTAATAAAAGTTGCGCATGCGCATTATAAAATGCCGCGATTGTTAAATATTAAACTACCGTGACATTTACAAATTAATTGAAATCAAAAGAACAACAACAACAATTCACGGTATAAAATTTGTTTAAAATGCACATCCTATTTGTTTAAAATGCAAATCTAACGGAAAAAAACAGGCAAGGATCCCTATTTTCTTACAAAATTTGCAATTATAGCTACGCCAGCTAATATCTAAGTCCACCATTAAAATTTTTTAGCGATGGTGGTAGTCTAATGTGGCAGTTAATAAAGAATTCCAGTTTTTTTACTACAGCATTTGTAAAAAAGTTATGTCTTTTATCATGTTTCAAAAAAATTTCGGCTTCTTATTCAAATTATTCGGCTTGTTCTAAGACTTTACTTAGATCCTCAATAAACTGGTTCGATTTATGACGTTACAAAATTGATTCAATCAATTCTATTAATTGTTTTGTACTAATTGTATAAGTTCACTACGCTGTTTAAGGTCACTACGCACACGGCGAATTTGAAGGGTAACCGTGTTAAAGGTGAAAGTGAAGGGTATTTTGAACTAAGACTTCTTAAACGTTTGTCGTATATTAGGTGATTAGTGTCTTAACCCAATTTTGCGGTTCGATACTGAATTCTTTTAATTGTATTTATACATTCTCTGCAATGATAAGTCTAGACAAGTATAGTCACTAATATGTTAAGGCGTGATATATATAGTATATATTACGCCGTAAACTCCAAATAGAAAGTTCAAAATAGATTATATTTTCTGTTGTACATTTTGACTTAGTTAATATTAAATTTTAACTTCTATACGCTTATATTTGATCTATTTTTATATAATAGCAATTACTGTGTATACTGTGCAACTAATTACTGTGTATACTGTGCAACTAATTACTGTGTATACTGTGCAACTAATTACTGTGTATATTGTGCAACTAATTGTTTTTTAACTCTAAGTTTGTAATACTTTTTTTTTTACATGGGTCAAGGCAATAGGTACCGCTTGCTGGTTCTATATTCTATAAACCTATAACACTTAGAGAAAGAGTTATTCAAATAAAGTAGTAATGGTTGAAAGGTACTCAGACACCCAGTTTTGGCATTCCTAATACAAATCAACTTTTGGCTAGAGTAGTTTTTAAACTTCTAAAATAAAATATCTCTTTATAAACTCATTCAGATTTCAAGAAATGTATAATACGCGCAGCTGCAGAGAAAACACAAGAAAAATGTGTAATAATTATATTCTGGTTAGCAAAACTTTTTTTAAATATCATTTTCATCATCGCCTCGGATATGACTATCTTCACCAACTTGAAACAGAAAAGAAACTTGGTTAAACTTATATAATACCGTTTATACTGATTAGCTTTGATATCTCGACATACTAAAACATAAAAATTTAGTTTGCACACCCATTTCAAATTCTTTTAAAATGAATGTAAGAAAAGGAAATAAAAAATATTTTTTTATTTACTTTACCTATTGATGCCTTATATATTTTACATCTATCGACTATTGTTCCTTTACGTTTATTTACCATAAGATGCTTAAACCCTAAGCACCTTAGGGTAAAAAAACGTAAAGGAACAATAATATTGGTATTGTAAAACATATAAGGTATCGATAGGTAAAGTAAAAAAAATAATTTATTCTTATTTCATACAGGGAGTTTTGGAGGGAAATAAAAGGAAGTGGGAAATTTATCCCAGATCTAATTAACGGGGTGTGGACAGGCGTAATAAAAGAGTTGATGGGAAAAGTTTTTATTTTTTATCGGTTATTAATATATATTTTTTTGAACTTTTTTAAAGTTTTGAGATGTAACGTTTTTATTGTTAACAAGTATATCAATAAACGGTGGTAGGGGGTCTTAATACGCTAAGGATAGATGGCAAAATTTTCAAAAATTAATAAATACTCGCTCCTTAAATAAAATACCTTAGTTAGCTGCATGAATTACAATGCCAATGTAAAGAGTTGTCAGAATTATCAAATATATTCTTTGGAATGGAAAGGCATGAAACGTGAAACTACTCCTTACAATTGTTGCATTTAACCATTTTTTCTTCTTTATTATCAGGAAGACGACATATGCAATATAGTGGTACATTAATTGGTTTAGGTAGTTTTTTCTTTTTTCGTTCATTAGTCTCTATAGGGAATGGCGTTAAGTAATTGTCACTGAAGCATTTTAACAAATGATCTCGCATAAGTTCTTGCTTATAGCATTTTATGCTTGGATCATAATTGTAACATAAATCTGTTGCCGCTGCAATTGCAAAAAGACCACAATCAACCCCACCAGATTGTTTTTGGAAATCTTTGAACTGTAATTTCAAAAAAGGTTCTTTAACCATCATGATTGATCCTACTTGCATCTTTCCACTAACACTTAAGTCATAATATAAGGAATCAAAAACATCAACTGAGTTAAGATGGGTACTTAAAAAATTTGAAATGGTAAGCCAATGCATTGCACCATTATGTAAAATTTGAACAAACTTTCCAGATTGCACTCTAAAATGAAGTTTTGACCCAAGAATAAGGTCTTGTAATCCTTTTACATCTGGAAACTGCATGGATAAAAGCTTTTGTGCTTTGTTTATGTGCAAATCAGATAACATCTCGAATGAGTCCTTAATGGAGAATAGTTGAAGATCTATGACAGAGTGTTGCTTTTTTAATAACTGTTCCTTATGAGCAGTTTTGCCTAAAATTCGCTGACACGATTGATGGTAAGGATCATTATACAAACCCCGCTTCCTTTTGAGCCTTGCTTTTTTAATTTTGACATTTCCTACAACTGGAGGGACTTTAGGTAAGCATACATTTGCTAAATTATTAAAAATGTTTATTGCTTGGCCGGTGCAGCATTCAGATTTAGTTGTAGGAAGATCTTTGAAGTTTACGCAGTCATTTAGAGAAAATTGATTTGGAGATAAAACGTTTCCTTGATTTTGAAGTTGTTCATTTAAATTTAGACTAGATGGTAAAGCAGAGAACAAAGATTCAGAAAAGTTTGGAGAACTGGACATCTCTGGCAAATCAGACATTTCGGGCAACTCTGACGTTTCTAGAAAATCTGACATTTCAGGCAAATCTGAGATTTCAGGCAAAGCAAACACTTTGGGCAAATTAGAGATTTCAGGCAATGCTTGCGCTTCCATATCAGAAATTATAACTTTTTTCCCAGCTAACCACAATTTATAAATTAAATTTAAGGAATCAATTTTTTCTTCAAACTCGTTCATTCCGAGAGTGGATAAATAATCCGAAATTGGTTTACATAGATTCATGGCAGTTTTAAATTTCTGGTCTTTAGAAAATGGCACTTTAAGTGTCTTTTTTTCGGTTTTATTAGTTGAAAAATGAAAAACATTGTTAGCCTGATTATGCAAACTTCTGGTCTTACGAGAAAGCCAACTTTTTTTTTGATAGCTTAAATGCCATCGCTCTCCTGCATCATCTGCTTTAAAAATAGCATCACCATTTACTATTTTCACTGCCATTGTATGTCGACAAGGAAGTTTCATAGTAACCTGCAAAGGACACGAACATACTTTATTTAACACTAACAAATTTGTGCGAGACTTTTTTAATTCTGCAATTACAATTCCAGCAGCATATGGAGTTAGAACTTTTACAATATCATCTGTAACTACATCTTCATCAGTACCTAATCTATATGATTCTTTAAAAGATTGATTAAACTCAATATGAGCCATTTGTTCAAATTTACAAGTATGTAACAAAAGGATACATTTTACTGCCTCTGCTAAAGACATTTTCCTAGACAATATGTTTTTAATTTTTTGGTTATGGGACTCGGACCTGTTATTTGTTGTATTACCAAGATTAACATACTTGATAGTTTCATAGTATGCCCAATACTTAACTTGGTGTGGCAAGCCCCAATTTTTGTTGTAGTATGCCATTACAACTTCTGGTGCAACTGTAGCAAGATGACCCAAATTTATATCAAACGATTTCTTTGATTTTGCATACACAAGCGATTTAAATATTTTTTTTAGATTATCTTTTTCTATACTAGCTAAACCTTGTTTATTTAAAAATCTATAAAATGCTTGCAAAACATGAAACTTACATAGTTGGATTTCTGCTGTAGGCATAACCTTGGAAACTGCACCTATTTCTTTCAGGTCCTTGTCAAGAATGACAACCTTTACTTGGTTAAGATTCAGTATAAGTTCAATTTCTGAAAACACATCATGCAGAGTGTTTTCAGTTTCTTGTGCAATGAAAGCATAACCAACAGCCTGACCTGTTCCATTTCCATCCTCAACTAACAGAGTGAATAAAGGCATTCTTAATTTATTTGTGCAATATGTGCAGTCAATCATTAGCACTTCAGGAAACATATCAAACACCTGCTGCATATCTCCACTTATTAGTAAAAGAAACTGCAGAACACCGTCTGAATCAACTTGAACAGATATAACTGCATCAGGATCTTTTTCACCTGAAATTAAAAATCAAACTTTAACTAAAACTTTTAGATAGTATATAAATAAAATAAATTGATTAATAAAGTGTATTATTTAAACTATGAACTATAACCCATTTAACTCAAAGTACAATAAACCTCTGAATAAATCTCTGAATACATTTAGGTTAAAACTATCAGGCATTTTCCGCCTCTATATATATACTCTAAATCATAAATCCTGTAAAATACAAAAATTGAAAAAGAAAAGTTAGAGCAGAAGGCTTACAGAAGGACATGAGTTCATCGATCAATAAAGCCTCATTTGATTTTTCACTATTGCGTTCTAGTTCAATTTTTTTATTTATGTTGAATAAATCTTTCGATGTTACTATTTTTCTTTCTTTATTTTTTAAATATTCTTTTAAAAAACAGACTTTAACACCAAGTTTAAACATTGTGCCAATATCATCTTTAACTATTTCACTTAACCGGCGTTGTTCAGGGTAATGCATAAAAGCAGTTCTATGAAGGCATAAAAATAAATACAAATAAAATAAAATTTAAAAATAAAAATTACAATAAAAAATACAAATTAACTCAAAAAAGTAAAAAAAGTACAATTTTTTTGCAAAATAAACTAATAACAAAATATAATTGTACTAACCTGCTGACTTCATGGTTATGGTTAGCCTGAAGTTGCTGTACTACTAGTTTTGTTTTATCTTTATTAATACTAATATAAAGTTTGGCACTACATCCAATTTTGAAAGAGCTAAAAAAAAAAGTAGTGAAAATCTTCACTTTCTGAAAATTATTGAGTTCTATCAGTGGGTAGTGAACATTATAATGTAAACTACCCACAGAGAAGTGCATGTTGTAGTTGATATGAGATCTTATTCAAGCTCGAACCCCAGCTTCCACAAGCCAGCCAAAAACAAGCAAAAAATAATTAAAATGAAATTTAGCATATACAAATAAAATATTAGATTTCTTATCTTTTAGAAAAACTTTTAGATAAAAAGAAATTAGATAAGCAAAATATTTAAAACCTTTGATTTGGGCGAATTCCTTTCCCTTTTGTTCTCTTAACTCCTCCATGCTTGCATAAATATGTTACATTTCTAAATTTAAACTTCTCATCAAAATGTTTTGAATTCTGACTCAAACCCTTATTAGCCAATGTAACAGTTTTGCTGTTACATTTAGTCCACAAAATGTTTGTAAATGCCGACAAAGAAGCCAATTTGTTTTCAAACTCATCAAAGTTATCAAACTCATCTCCTTGTTTAATTTCAATATTCATGACTAATTTGATAAGATAAAACTAAAAATATAATTTAGGTTTATTATGCAATCATATTTATAGCAAAAATAAATTAAATAAATCAGTTTATTCCAAACAAACTTCCTGATTGAATTCTACCTTTTTGAATAGCACATGCGTATTTTATTTATAGTTTATATATAACCGTGGTCGTGCGAATAAGCTTTATTTCGTTATTTGCACGACGGTCGTGCAAATAAGCTTATTTTCGTTATTTGCACGACGGTCGTGCGAATAAGTTTACTTTTGTTACTTGCACGACGGTCGTGCGAATAGACACTTCGGCCATAGTCATAAGAAATATATAGTCTGGAAGCAAACAAAAGCGCTTTGTTTATGTTTTTGTTCTAGAAATTACTCGTTCACATTCTTCCGAAGGTGCACAGTAAACAAAAACATATAAAAGCGAAAGTATCGATCTCCTTTTTTTCTTCTTACTTTTACATTAAATTTAAACAACTGTAATTTATTTTAGTGAATTGATTACAATTTTCTTTATTATTATTTGTTCTTGCAAGCTTGGCATTGTTAAAAAAAAAAATTTTTTTCAAAATGATGCAAAATTACATTGTCCCATGTCAATAAGACGTTGTCTAATATTACTAAAAAAGTTCAAAAGTCTATGATATAAATTTTCTTCTTCAGCCTAAAAAATGACTTTAAAATAACTATGAAAATTAAAGACGAAAAAAAAAAATATATATATATATATATATATATATATATATATATATATATATATATATATATTGATATATATACATTGATATATATATTGATATATATATTGATATATATATATATATATATATATATATATATATATATATATATATATATATATATATATATATATATATATATATATATATATATATATATATATATATATATATATATATATATATATATATATATATATATATATATATTAGGGTGGTGCTTAAAACAACTTTTTTGAGAAAAACCTGCTGGTACCCCCTAAATGTGTTTTATCTAATACAAAAACACTAGGTTTAAAATTTTTTTGAACAAAAAATATTTTTAGGGGTAGCTCAAGGCCCTCAAAAATTTGACGGGTCCCTAATATTTTGAAAAAAAAACTTTTTCTAAAGTATGTCAACCTGGTACTCAAAATAAGCAAAATTATATAAAAAATTGAAAAATGAAAATAATTTTTTATAAAAATAATTTTTTCAGGTATAAATGCATAAAAACTATTGTTTTTAAGCTGAAAATAAAAAAAGTCAATATTTTCAGGTTTTTTGAGAATAATTTTTTTTAGGCATGTTTTTTATGTAAAATGATTATTATTTTTGAAGTTTTTATATAACATCGCTTCTTTTGAGTACCAGGTTGACATACTTTAGAAAAAGTTTTTTTTTCAAAATATTAGGGACCCGTCAAATTTTTGAGGGCCTTGAGCTACCCCAAAAAATAATTTTTGTTCAAAAAAATTTTAAACCTAGTGTTTTTGTATTAGATAAAACACATTTAGGGGGTACCAGCAGGTTTTTCTCAAAAAAGTTGTTTTAAGCACCACCCTAATATATATATATATATATATATATATATATATATATATATATATATATATATATATATATATATACATATATATATGCATATATAAATATATATTGATATATATATATATATATATATATATATATATATATATATATATATATATATATAAATATATATATATATATATATATATATATATATATATACATATATACTGATATATATATATATATATATATATATATATATATATCCTTATAGTGTAATCGAAAGAGACTTTTATGGTAAAAAAAAGTGGTGTTTTTGTTTTTGTTTTATTAAAAAACATTTTTAAAACATGCGTAAGTGTTGCTACATTGACTATCTTATAGCCTGCTGCTACAAGGGAGTGTTGCTACATCGACTCTCTTACAGCCTGACTCGCAACAGAGTGCTGCTACATTGACTGACAAACAGCCTGACTTGCAAGGGAATGCTGCTACATCGACTGACAAATAGCCTGACTCACAAGGGAGTGCTGCTACATTAACTGACAAATAGCCTGGCTCGCAAGGGAGTGCTGTTACATCAACTGAGGGTTTGGTTTGGGCAGGCAGTCTATCATTTAAAAAAAAAAATTTTTTTGAAGTTTTTCAACATTTTCTGGTAAGGCTTATTAATGTGCTCTTTAAAACAACAGTTTATGGGAAAAACTTTGTGACTACCATGCAAGACTTTATATATATATATATATATATATATATATATATATATATATATATATATATATATATATATATATATATATATATATATATATATAAATATATATATATATATATATATATCTACTATAGCATATTTATATGCGCAATTGCTCACTTTTTTTGCTAGCCTAAATTAAGTGAGCATTTTTAGAAAACGATGAGGGAAAACAAAGAATAATGAATGAAAATGTTGCTGACCCATACCAAACCCTCAGTCGATGTAGCAGCACTCCACGGCGAGTCAGGCTATTTGTCAGTCGATGTATGTACTGAAGCCCCCGGCAGCAGGCTATTTGACATTAGGTGAGTATGACATCATCATGCTCACCTAACTCAGCAGTATAAGATATATACACACACAAATATATATATATATATATATATATATATATATATATATATATATATATATATAAACAAGGACACTTTGAGCATTTGTGCATACATTTTTTTTTTTCGATTTAGTACTTGACACGTAATGTCAATTTGTAGACTCATAACAATTTATCATACACTGACCATATTCGAACAGAATAATCTTTGAATAATACAACAGTTTTTGTGTACTTAGCTCAATTTGATCAAATGTTGTACTTAACACTTCTGTGCATAGTGCCATCGATATATATCTATCTAATTGTGTCAATGAATTTAAATCATTGATATATATCTATCTAGTTGTGTCAATGAATTTAAAAAATGTTTAAATGATTTTTGACCCTTGATAATCTAGAAATAGAGAAGTATTTATGTGTTTACACAAGAATTTCCAATAAAATATATCAATTAGGTTTTTAATTTTGTTTGACTTGACTACATATAAAAGCAATTAAAGAAATAAATTTCCTAGATACAATGTTAAACTACAAAAATATTAAGCAAAATATTTGTAATATTAATTTATAAATGCTAAATATTTTGTCATTTTCAGAATTTTTTAAACAAACAAAAATTTTTTTTACAAAGATTTGAAAAAACCATTTTTAAAATATATTTTAATTTAATATTTTTAATTGGCAATTTAATAAAAATCTCACTCAAAGCATATCCAGTCTAAAATGATTCTGATATCATAAACAGTAAAGTAATTTCAGAATTTTGAAGCTAGTGAAATAAAGCTAACACTTAATATTCATAATAGTTAAATGTTTAAAAACATCAAACTTAAATACATATGCTCATACGACCAAAATTGCACTATGGTCCTAAAATTTATACGCAACATAAAAAGTAAAGGTAAATTGGAAAATTTACTCACCGTTAATAAAAATTACTTCTTATTAGTCATGAATAGTAAAATACAATCTTTGAAAAAATATTTTCTTTCCCAGTATGTCAAAGAGCAAAATTTTTCTACCAAATTTCAAGCTTTTGTGTCAAAGAACAAAAAATCAATCAACATTAGTATTGATTTTTGATCTATTGACAACACAATAAACCATTTTACAAACATCTGGAAAAAAAAGTGAAGATAATTAAATAACTTATTATATAAAATCATATCATATATATATATAAATTCTGAAAAATAATTTCATGGATATTTACAAATAGTAATTCGACTAATATACTACTAGCTATATATATATATATATATGTATATATATATATATATATATATATATATATATATATATATATATATATATATATATATATATATATATATATATATATCTTATTTATTACTTTTTTAGCTATGTAAAATAGATTTTTAAAACTAAATAATCTTTTCTTAACAGATTAGAAAAATAATTAATACAAAAAATTTTCAAAAACTATATAAATTAAATCTTAAAACCAGTCTTCAGTTCAAACTCTTAAAGAGATATAGTTTTGTTTATCTTTCTGTGCACCTTTAGCGGGTCGTTGATACGAGTTTCAACATAAAACGGCAAAACAATGGAAACGGCCTTTATTTCCAGACTATTTGTTCTTATGACTATGCTTCGGCATAAGTGCGAAGCAGTTACAAAAACAAAAAGTAGCATAAGTGCGAAGCAGTTACAAAAACTCGATCTGGCATAAGTGCAAATTCGCTGAATAAATTTACAAACATTAGCATAATAAGTGCCAAATGCCTATTATACCAATATTTGCACTAAAGTCAATATTCGGCGCGTATTTGCCAATTCGTACTTAAGCTTATTTCAGTTTTTGCACTTAAACTATTTTGCCCTATTTAGCCAAAAAAACGTATTTCCACATTTCATTATTAAAAATTACTTTACTTTTCTTTTTAAAACTTCTTTTATTTTAACTATAGACGTCTTTTTGGCTTAATAAATAATATTTACTGCACATATTTTAAATATTTTTTATATATTTTAAATATTATTTTAAATATGTGCAGTAGTACTGTTACAGGGGTGTCTGCCACATCAGTGAAATCACAGAAAACAGGTAAAAATCAGGGGATTCAGATATCTTCAAAAAAAAAAAAAAAAAAAAACCAAGGAATGATTAAAGAAAATAATTTAAATTTTGAAAAAATCAATAAGAAATCAGGTTAAAATCAGAGAATTCAGATATCTACAAAAAAAATCAGGGAATGATTAGGGAAATTAAGTTAAATTTTGAAAAAATTAATAAGAAATCAGGAAAAGTAGCTCTTTCTCAAACTTAAGTAAATTGTATATTATGTACGTAATAAAAGTTTTACTCAGCAGAAAGTTCTCTCGATACTTTAAGTGTAGGTTGTATTAATGTGTATATTTTTCTAAAAGAATCTCAATTCATTTCTGAAGTTATATTTGGGTAACTTTGAATAAAATTAGGGAAAACAGGTAGTGGATCAGAGAATAATCAGGGAAAAATCAGGGAAATACACCTTAAAATATTGGCAGACACCCTGTGCAAGTACCCTTCGCAAGTGTGAAGGGTACTGGCACATAATATAATGATACCATTATATCAGATATATCAATAACTTGTTTTTGAGAATAAATAAAGATACCAATTACTTGTTTTTGAGATAAAGTGGAGAAATTTGTTTGACTTGAAGGGCAGTATTAGGTGCACTATTTTAATTTATTTTTGCTGATGTTGTTGGTTTATCTTTTTTTGTTTTTAAGGATTTTTTTATTGATTTTTAAGGATTTTTTTTGTCAACAAATGGACGAAAATGAATTTATAAAATTAAATTGATTTATAAAAAGTACTAAATTTTAAAATTGATGGTTATTAAAAAGATGAAGTTTACATTCAAGTTAATGCATATGGCTTTGCAAACAACAACAAATAGTGTTGCCAAATCACAAAAAACAGCATTGAAGCAAGTATCAAAAAAAAATGTAAGCTTGATAGTATATTGCAATCGATGATATTTTTATAAATGCATACTAGTGGTTAGTATATTTATATATTAATTTTATTTGAAGCATACAACCGTTCACATAATACAACATAAGACAACAATATCTACAAAGGAATATTGCAATCTATCCTGCCTATGTTGTAGTATGTGAACTGTGAATGGACTTAAATTGATCTTCTCATAATCTTTTTAATACTTGCCAGACAAAAAGTATAGAAGAGATAAAAATATAGATAGTTGTAACATTATTTTAAAAACTATAATAGCTGTAAGTTCATTTTTTTTTAAGTTGCAGGAAAATAAATAGATCTTAGAGATGCATTGGCCTAACATTATTAGATATAATGTAAAACTTATTATTACATGAAATGTTGTTACTTACCCTACTGTAGGGCAAGTTGCAACATTGAATTGTGTAAATTGCAATACAATACTTTTAAGAAAAAATCTTGCTGGGTACACAGAAAAATTATTATTCTGGCGAAGTTGTAGTTTCTTTCCTTACTATTTAGAATAATTCATCGTAGACTTTTGTTTTTTAATAAAATAGATTCAATTTAATAATGTTATTTTTTTAGATAGACTTAAAATCTGACGCTGTAACTGACAACGCTCTTTTTTTTTTTTTTTTATTATTACAATTTAATAAACACTGTTTTGATGTTTTAACAATTTATATGCAATTAAAAAAAATTGTTACGTTACGAATAACTTTTAATCCTTTTTTTTTTTCAAAGTTTTTTATTTTACGCGAAGGCTTTAAATAAAATAAAATCTAAAATTAATTATAATGATTGTTTTAAAATAAACACATTATGTGTAAATTAAATGTTATATTTAATTTTTTTTTAATTAGGTATGTATTTGTATTTTATTAGGTAAATATTTATGATAAATTTAAACGTTTAAATATATTTTTCTATGTTGTTCTAAAAATCTTTTAAAATAATATTTTTTTAAGTCACTTTAAATTATCAATAAGTTAAATTAAATCTTGCCATGATTTAATTGCTTTTTTTTTTTCTTTTCTATTTTTACAAAGAATTGTTTAAAAGTTTTTTTTTTTAAACTTGACTTACTAATTTAATAATGAAATGATAAAAAATTATGATATTAAAAAGACAATGTTGTTTTTTTAAAATTTTTTTTTGCAACTTTTTGAAAAAAATGTTTTTACTTAAAAAATGTTATAACAAAAAATATTATATTTTTTTGCTTTTCAATAACAAATAAATTAGTTCATTTATTAAGTAATCAATAGAAGTAATTTGTAAAAGCATTTTGCGTAAATTTTATTAAACATAAGATCAGTTTTAAAGTAATTTTTTTCAAATGCAATTAAAAAAAAAAAAAAAAAAAGTAATTTCTCCTTCGAGTTTTTTAGCTTTATTTTAAGCTAAGTTATTTTCTTTTTTGTAAGGAATTGTTTTACTTATTCTTTAGTTTTTAAAATTTTTTTCCAATTTTAAGTTTAGGATAACGTTTCTTTTTTCAGTGCATTTCTGAAATGTTTAAAATCATCAAAACATCTAAACAGTCGTGATCATTTTGTAAACAAAAATAACCCATTTGCGTGGTCAGCAAATGCGTTCGATCGTACGCTTTTTCTGTCCAAACTTTGTTTTGTAGAATTTAATTCCCGTTGGTCAAAATGTCCAATAACTTTGTAAATTTAGCGGACAATCTGAGGATTTAGCTGGACAATATTTAATGTTGAGCGGACAATCTGAGGATTTAGCTGGACAATATCTAATGTTGAGCGGACAATCTGAGGATTTAGCTGGACATAATGTCTAATGTTCGACTGTTAAATTGAGCCCTGATAGTAAACAAATAAAACTTTGTTGGACCCACTCAAATTGAGTGGGTCCAACTGCGTATACTGCGTAAAGAGAAAGAGCATCATAAGAAGAACCAGCCTAAATAGGACAAAAGTATTCCATACAGGGACAAATAAGAGATTTGTAACAATAGAGAATGGAATCAGAAGTAAGAAAATAGTGATCACGATAAAAAAAAGCAACCTTAATTGTTTAATTTAGCAATGGAATATATATATGGTTTATATAAAAGGTCAATAGTAAATGATAATCCAAGAAGATGTAAAGAAGAGTACTCATTGAGACAGGCTGGGACAGGAGTGGTGTCTGATCAAGCGCTATTGCTGAATATGCAAATGATTTTATTTTTTAACAACTTGACCACGATTGTTTATAGGTTTTGATGATTTAAACATTTCAGAAATGATCTAAATGTAGAAATGCTAAGCTAAACTTAAACTAGGACAAAAGTTAAAAAAAACTAACAAAAAAACATTTCTAACAAAAAAAAAATCCTTACACAAGCCATCCCAGACATGGCTGTTTCACTCTATATAAAAGTGAGCATGACGTCATGAGTTTATAATAAAAAAAGTATTTCCGCATAAAAAGTATAAAAATTCACTAACTTTAAAGTAATAGTATTTTTTTTCTATAAATGCTTTCATTTTTGAATAAAAAATAAATAAAAGATCTATCTTTCCTTGTTAAAAATATTTACTTTAAACGGACTATAATAAAATATTGTTAAAATATTGAAATTGATTTGGGATCACTTTTCTGTTTTTTGAGATTTTTAATGAAAACCTGTCTTGGGCCAACAAAGATTAGCTGACATAGCTAGATGCTTAATGGTTGAAATTTAGAGCACTTATTAATGAGTGTCTATTTTATCATATTCTAACGTTACTGGTGTGTATTTGTCAAAAAAAAAAAATTCTTGTTGCATTTATATATTTAATTTTATTATTTTTAAATGTAAAATTTAACATTTTTGATCAGTAACATAAGTTATTGAAATTTTAACCTTTTATGCATATGAAAACAAAAAACCTATTTTCTGTACCTCTGTATAGCTATGTCAGCTATTATCGTTTCAAACTGAGCATGTTTAGCAACAAATATTTTCAGTTTTCGCGTAAATTTTTATAAACATTAAAAAGCGATGATGTAACCTTAAATGCGTTACGTCCCAAGCAATTATCTTAGCAATTTCAACTGAACTACTGTTTTGGCGAGACAAATTTTTAAGTATAAAATAAACAAAGTTTGGCAAAATATTCTCGACTCATGGAGAATTCTACTGTTATCAGATAAGTTTGTTAATCCTATTATATCTATTGCATCTATTTGTCAAATAATAATTTTAATTAAGTTGTTTGTATTGTATTTGTATTGTAACGTCAGTGTTTGTTTTATAACTTTGTATTCTGCAGAGAGAAAAGTTTTGCAACTATATATTGAATGAGAAGATTGTTGGAAAGATGTATGTAACTTTCCTTTAGTTAAGCGAATAATTAGTAGTGATAAAATCACTTACAAAGTAATTTCAATTTTAATGTCAGTTTTTCAATTAAGAAAAGATTTATATAGTTTTATGAGCTATATCTTGCCAATAGATTTTATTTTGCCTAGCAATGAGGAAATTGACCTGATGTGCAGAAAGTTAGTACGCCAAAAAATTCATTATAAAAATAATTCTTTAAAAAATGAACCGTTTTTTAATATGCAACTGTCGCAAGCTTGTTTGTTTATTTTAATAATAGTCAAACAACGAATGTGTTTGATAATAACTATCAGAATTATATTTTTCTGATTTTTCTTTGATAAAAAGTTACAAGAAATTACTAAAATTTAGCCAAGTTCATCATTTGTCGTGTTTTTTATAAAATAAAAGAAACTTGTTTACTACTGTATTAAATGTCGTGTGATAAAACATTTTATTGTTGTTTTTATTCTTTTTACAAAACAAAATTATCTCAAATATTTCAAAAGTTATAAATGTTTTAGTAACACCCCCTTATAACTTTTATAATTCATTCTTTGTTCAAAAAAGATTTAATTGAAGTAGAAAAGCATCTAGAAAAATATAGTGGATGTTTAAAAGTAATTTAAAACTTAAGTAACTTATAAAAACGTAAACTTAACTTTATCAAAGCGTAATGTATAAATGGTTTAGCATTATTAAAAACTTTACTAATAATACATAAAAACCCGTTTTAATTTTCAAATCAACCAATAAAAATTTTTATTGGTTGATTTTAAAATTAAACGCGCCTTTATACGGACTATTAGTGACGTTTTTCATAATGCTTAACTTTTTATTAAGTGCGTTTTTTTAAAGTTATTTAACTGATTTGTGAAAAATACATATTTATGTAAGTAAATAAAATTATATTATATTCTTGTATAGTTCACACAAAATGTGTAAAAGGTTTTAAACTTATTCATTTGAACTTATTCATATTTAAAGTAACTTAAAAAAAATTCTTTCTTAGATAATGGTTTAAAAAATTTCTAGGAAAACATGGAAAAATAGTTTCAAATGTTTAAATTTATCATAGAAAATACATGCCTACATAAAAAAAAACTTATATATAACATTTTTTATTAATTTACACATGCATTTATTTAAAGAATTAATTTTATAGTTTTATTTAAAGCCTTCCCATAAAATAATAACTTTATAAAAGATCAAAGATTAAAAGATATTCATAACGTAACACTTTTTTATTGCATTTAAATTGCTCAAGTTGTAAAGGATGAAAAAAAATTAGCGTGGTCAGTTACAAAGTGCGATCATACGCCATTCCCGTTTGTGCCTAATAAGAGAGTTGCCATTTAGGAATGTCGACAGTATTAAGATAGTTGTTTGCAGTAAATAATTGAGTTTTGTTAGAAGTGAGATCAGATTTTAGATCGCCTGTTCTTAGCAATCAAAAAGAGAAGACTTTTTGTCAAGACAGAAGTATAAAGTTGAGTCATCAGCAGAAAGAGCTATTTTATATATAAAGAAGGTACCAGAAGGTACTCGTAATAAAGAATAATATTGGTCTTAAATCAAGGGTTTAGAAAGAAACGACTTGATAATCTTATAAACTTTACCAGATACACCATATAAAGCAAGCTTATGGACAAGACCAGCATGCCAAACTTT